TCTTCTATTTATTTACGATTTTCGTTATTTGTCGTAATTTCGGATAGATCGTCGGTTCGGTTTTACTTTTTCTGGTACGATAATCGTCGGCATATTTTTAACGGTGCCTGTACACACTAAACTGTTTCTGAGCCTTGATAATGTACGCCTAATTTCCTTACAAGTTTATCATACAACTGAATGTATGTTAGTAATCAGTTGGTAATTAGTAATGCATTTATATGTTGAAATGTCTATTGTAAATATTCATCAAATGTGTCTATTAGTAATCAATAATGTACGCCCAAGTTCATCACCTGCTCTCTATTTTTTTTAAAGTTGATAGAAAGAAGTCTTCTGCTTCATGTAATTTTATATACTGTACAATTGAATGCTTATTATAGTACAGCGTAGACTAAATATTTAGTGACAAATAATTTAAATATTTTAAAATATTATTTATGTATCCATGCTACGTGCAATACCGGTGATTTATAATTTATTATGTAAAAAAAAATCGCATCAGCCGGATACTTTAGTCCACGCCGTACGGTAGTAATCAGTAAATACCGAAATATATATTCGTAATCTTTTTACCCTTATCAATAATGTATGACCAACTTCCTTACAATTTCTCTATTTGCAAAGTTGATAGAAAAAAGATGTAACGCCCATGAACAATTAAATGCCTATTAGCTATTTTGGAGTGGCAGTTGTACATTTATGGGTGTTCTTAAGCATCCACCTAGATGCGACTTCATAGCGATAGAAATAGTGCACAAATATTATCATACCATTTTAGATCATTTTATTACTATGATTTGTAGTGATGTTCAATTGCTACAATAAATCAAAATTAAAATAACTCAATCACCACTTGAGCAGATTCTAAAGATTTTTTGACTGAAATGATAGACTCACTGATAATCTTTATTTAAAATTTTCTCTTTTTGTCGCAATGAACTACGAGTTTCGTACCTTATTTATCTTTAATTACATTTTGTTTGATCGATTAATAATACTTTCCGCTAGTTAAAATTTAATTCTCAACACATTTTCGATATGTTTCTTAGCATAATCAGTTTTTTAAAATAATACGTATAATTAAATTTCTAGACATATTAGATCTTCAATATGATAACTGGCGTACATAATTCTTGAGTAATTCATGAGAAGGTGTAAGCATTTTACTAAAGAATATATTCATATATGGAAATTGGTGCAACTTTTTTTCACTGCATTAAATTCATTAAAGATTTTCATTTGCATTTCAATTAATTTTGACGTTTCCCTTTTGTCCACGTGAAATCATTTCATCACATTTTCATCATCTATAAAATAGTGAGTAATTTTCGATGTTGGATTTTAAAATACTTTTGTAAACAAAATATTGTGTCTATATGAGTGAAAACGATGAAGAAATTGTTTCTAAAGATACAAGCGCTGGAAAAGTTGATGAGTGGAAGGCTGATATTGTTGAAAGAATGAAAAATAATATTTACGATTCCAAACCTAAACCACCAATCGAAGGCTCTATCGATATTAAACAATGGGCAATATTCCAAAATAACCTAGAGCATTTTGTTAATTTTGAACCAATTAAATGGGATTTAGTTCTTTTAGATAATTTTCTTGGGAAACATTCTGAAGGCAGTACTCTCGAAGAATTTAAAAAATATTTAGAAGAAAAAGATAAAATGGCCGAACCATCAAAAAAAAATATTAAAGCAACAGATAAAGTAACAGATAAAATAACAGATAAAGTAGCAGATAAAGCGAGGAATTATTATACGAACGTAAAAAAACGTAGTCGTAGAAGTCGTTACACAAAAAATTTACTTATAATTACAAGAATTCTAAAAGAGAATAACATACTGGATTTAAGAGAAAAATTTTTTATAAGTTCAAGAGTTACAAAGACTACTTTATCTGATAAGGATATTTCTCCAATTATCGATGAGTTTGTAAAAATGGTGTTAGTATTCCAATTCATGTAAAAATTGCTTTAATCGTAAACTAAAATATCTAAAATAAAATTTTTTTTATTACTATTAGCAGGAAATAATCTTATGCATTTATCAAATTAAGTAAAATTCAGTCACCAACTTCAAGTATTTGGTCTTCAAAATTTAACCTTCTAGTTACCAAATTACATATTAATTAATCAATGAAAAAAATTTTGGACTCCTGATATGTGATCTATATCAATGATTCGTTTAACACCCTCAAATGAACGTAGAAATTTGTATACAACGATGCATCCTTGCCTGAAGTATTGGTTAGCAAAGTCAATGATTAGTATTACTTATTAATAGACAATTTTCAAAATTTTTGGGTTTTTTTAATAATTAATAAATACACCGTAATTTCATTTGTCCATAATTACAAGTCATATGGCTTTATATAAATTTGCTTAATTTATACAGTAGTAATATTCGAATAAAGAAATACGCTTTATGTTCACAAAGTTTTATTTGTTTTATTATATTTTAAATAATAATTATATTTTTTTGTTCACAATATTAATTATACTTTTTGTCTAAATATTAATTGTCATGGCTGAAACTGGAAATTTTAAATACTTAATATGAAATTTTCAAAAATTTTTGAAGGGCATTTTTTTTATAGTTAGCTTAAGATTAGGTTAGTTTTGATTTTGGTAGGGTTTGTATTTTTAATCGAGGTCCCTAATTTCCAGACTCAGCCGCGACATTACTGTAACGATAAAACACCCAGGGTTGTCGATGGTAAACTTACCGTGGTAAATTACTGTGGTAAATTACCATGAATTTTTGATAATAAGTTACCAAATGCTTGCAACCATTATCGGTGGTTGACGTAAACCACGGAAACTTTCGAAATTTTCAACCCTGAAAACACCTCTCGTATTTATTTATCTTCTATGTACTGTACGTATTGCTATATATTTTAAGCAAGCGAGCTTTTTAGTTATAATTAGTTGATTTTTGCAGATCATCTTTTTGTCCGGAGGGCTTTAATTTCTACGCATGAAGTTACGTTTTGATAATTTCTATTTAAAAAACATCAAAAAAGTAATTCCAAATTTTCTGTCTGTCCACGCACGTGATCTAAAATATAAAATATAAGTAATGAATTTTCTGTTCATCTCCATTGCATATTGTAGATAATAATTGTTTGCTCCGGATCAAAAACGGTTTCCGTTTCCTAGTCATAAGAAAATCTTATTAAAATAACGATTTGCTGCCACAAATTCGCAGCCACGAATACGAATTCGCAGGTGTTACGATATAAAAAATTAAAAAATACACTTCGGCTCTACAACATACTAAAATAATTTGGTAATTGGGAGAGGCATGTCTGAACGTTTCAATTTTGCCAATAAGTCATAAATATAATATACGAATCTATTGAGTTTAGTAATTTGTTTTTGAGTTCTTTCGTTAATTTATTTCATTATGACTTATTTATAATCCAAGACAGATATTGCCAGTGGAATAGTCTAGTGAAATAGTTTAGTAACGTAACTTAGCAACATTATGTAATGAAACATAATTTTGTGAATTATCATGAGGTTAGAACTCAATGTCATATTTAAGATTATTAATTAAGGTTATTAAATTTAAAATAGTTTGATGCCAATACAATTAATATTTTCGTTACGATATATTTATGTGTTTTTATTAGTTTTTAATGTGTTTTCTGTTTTTTCAATTTCGTGTGTGTATTTAATAAGATCCTGGTCTTAAATTCTTTATTGTGGGATTTTGTTGTAGGGCTGCACAGGCCTAAAAATTTATACTTTTGCTGGTCCACAAAATACATTTATTATGTGTTTTAAAAGCTCGGCACACATTTTACTATGTTTTATGACATATTACTGTATTAGACCCACAAAATATGTTTGTTAAAAGCTCGGAACATATGTTACTATTTTTATGACATATCAAGCCCGCAATTTTGTGAGGTTTTTAAATTTTTCTAATTTCGACCCGGTCTGTGCAGGCCTTTAATTTGTAGTAACGCTTCAATGCCAATTAAGTCTTACATAAAATATTTGTTACAATTTCGTCTCATATAAGATATCTTCGTGGTTAAGCAATAATATTTTGTAATATCACAGGATAATTGCCAAAAATCAGCCAATCACAATGAAAGCTATATATTTATGATTAATCGAATCGCTATTTACCCAAAGCATTCTGAAGATTAAATTAATACACAATATACAGTATAAAAGACGTACTAAAATTAACTAAAAAGCTTGTATACCCCCTTTTTTTTTACTGATCAAAACTTATAATAAACAAGATCCTCTTTTTATTTGACTGTTCTTGTTTCTAGTGCTTATAAGCGGCTAGTATTTAATAATCAGTAGGAGCATACTTGTCTTTTTTGAGATGGTTTTGTATAGTAAATGTTAATGTTAACATGTTTACAAAACGGAAGAGAATTAACTTTTCAATTTTTGTAAATAATTAATAAATTACCCGGGAAATTTACTTATATCAGCCAATTAAACGAATGTCTAATCATGAATATTTTCCATGTCCCTAACATTTCGTATGGAAGTTGTGCGTACTTTATTGATGAAGGTAGTGATGGGACTAAAGGTCTTAAATTAAAATATCGTATGCTGTGATCTATTAAAATAGTTAATTCTCAATAAATCATTAAATGCGACTGTTAAGTACCACCTATTGTTAACCCCGTAGTCCCATCACTAGATGAGGGGTATAAAAATTATTATTAGATATTTTGATATATATAAAATCAAATAACTACATTTAACAGGAGAAATTTCTTCCCTTAATTATTATTAAAAATCTGGGGTTAGGGTGAATTTTAGACAAAATTAAGGGTTAGATATTATAGTTAGCATAAGATTTTGGGGATTCAGACCATTTTTACTTAGTATCTCCGATGTGTATAGATATCATAGAAAGACTTTCGAATGATTGGCTAGCAGTGATGGTAAATGACCTGGTCATTTGCTTATTTTTTAGATGACCTCAAATGACTTCAAAATGACCGGTCATTATCGGTCATTCAAATCTTGGGTCATTTGAAAATGACTCGTGACCAAATGACTGCGGTCATTTGGAAATGACCACAGTCATTAGGGTCATTAGGTCATTTTGCATATAGAATTGACATTCTA